TGTGATATAATAATAATAATAATAATAATAATAATAATAATAATAATAATAATAATAATAATAAAATAAATATCTCGTATCATTTATGTCAAAAACCAATTTGATTATCATTGACAGGCTTTTTTAAAAAGTTTTTCTGATCATTTTATTCCTAAAACATGTCATGAACCAAAGAGCTGTTATCAATTATTGATGATTTTTGGAGCGCTTCCTAACAAGGGCGAGGACGAACACTGTTAGTTTTCTCGATGATCAGTGACTGAATCTGATATCTAGAAATGTCATCAAAATCAACGTTATTTTTAGGAGTATCTGACAACATAAAGAATCGAATAGTACCGAATGCGTCTCGTCTAGAAAAAAAAAACTTTCTAAAATGCATTTTCGATGATTTTTCCAGAAAACCCATACTGTTTGCCAACCTATATCATTGGGTTGCCTGTATAATTTGGGATTTTGTTTGACGCTTTCTTCTCATTGGCTGATATTTGATAGCCGGGCTGTGATTGGTGGAAAGCTTGCTATGGATGGTCATATGATCACAATATTTTGAACCAGAAGAGAAATCTGAGCGTTTGGTGAAAAACCTAACGAAGGGGATAACCAAACGTTTGGGGGCTTTAAAACCACTCAAATTAAACCTTTCCGGGCTGTAGTTTATTGAAATCTTTAGCTCAGAATGTCTGAAGCAAGTCCACCATCCGAAAGGGTAAGCTTTTGCTGGAGAAATACCTGCAAATTAAGGTTACTTTTCAAGTTTTTTAAACTGCTTGCAGTTCTTTTACCAAAGAGGTGGTCTGTTTTCTTGTAGGTCGAAAAGGTTGGAGATTTAACCGTTTATATCGTGGTGAGTAGTTTCACGTGTGCTTTTGATCGTTCTTGGCTCAAGTGAATCAAATAAATAAGTAAATAATTCGTTTTAAAGTTAGCGTTAGCAAGACCAGATACCCTCGCCATTAGTTATTCATGTCTTCCCAGCACCGAGCGTACGAGCTCATCTTCCTGCACATTTGCAGCTCGAGCCATCAAATATCTGTCTTCTTTGACACCTTTTCACATCATTTCAGGGAGAGGAACAGAAATCAGAAGATAAAGAAAATGTCAAAAAGAAGGAAGTCATGGTTACTTTTCATGACATAGGAATGAATCGTAAGTTTTTCTAGCGACTACGCCATGAAGAACCGTTGTTTCGCAGCACGCGTTTATTTATCATCGCTTCGTTGATCAACAATTTTTCCATCTTGCACCAAGTCAAAAGCAAATTAAAGCCCAATGAAAGTCCTTAATCTAAAAGGAATATCCCTTTGTATTATTTCAAGCCTTTTGATTTGGTTTTCACACTTCGTTAATGTTCAAAACAAGATCATTGAGCGAGTTGTTTGCTGCTTGATGTGGAGAAGTATGGCGAGGCGCACAACACGTGGTTGTTTTACTGTTTTGGGACGGTGGGCGTTCACCCTAATATACTCTCCTAAAACATCTCAAGTCTATTTAATGCATAAATATATGTACTTATTATCACTAGAAGTCGTATGAGACATCTTGCAGCGGTTGGTGTTTTTCCGCAACCGAAAGTATAAGTTTGCACTTTAAATCTATATTGCATCAAGTATCGTACCTCAGGGGTTCATGTAGATGATATAACGGATGTGACGAAATCTTAAGCAGAACATCTACCAAAATCGTTTCTCTTAACTTTTTGGCGGAGCTATCGTTGACGAAATTGTTCTATAACGATTCCCAAGAGTATTGATTTCTCTAGTTTTTGGCATACGACATTTTTTGTATTGTTGTATCTAATGTTTGTTCAGTGGTCGACCATGCACAACAGAACAAGAAGCTGCATATTCACTTGATCAGCATGGTTTCTAGGATAAACAACTCCACTAAATTTTCAATGTAGCTTTAATTTCAAAGAGGAACTAACGTTTCAGAGCTAAAATAGATTACTGACACTTTTTCCTCGACTCGTTAAAACATTTATAATTTATTTAAACTTATTTCATTTTAGAAAACTCAAATCAATCTGCACTTATCTTTTGGCACGCTACATCGAGAAAGATCTTTGTTTTTAGTCAACAAGGTTTATCATAGGCTATAGAAATTGCAAACTTTAGGCTCAGTTTTTGAAGGAAACAAATATGTTAATACATTTTGTTGAAAAACCTCTAATAAATTTGCAAACATTTTGTATATACGTAAGCTTAATATATGTGAAGTTTAATTTGGAAAAGGTTTTTAGAAACTTAAAGTTTCATAGCTAGTAGCTGGTGTATTTAAAAACATCATTGAATTAATGAGGAAATGTTGGTTATACGAAAATATGTGAAGAAAATCTTATCACATGGTGGGTCATATGGTCATATTCTGTTCTCTGGAATAATCTACCAATAGATATTAGAGATAGATCAAGTTTGCAATTGTTTAAGAACTCATCATAAAATGAAACTATTCTCCAATTATTTATTAGGATAAATTAAGATTATATTAAGATTATTTATTGTTATTTATATCATAAGTTGATTTTGTTTCGCAACTTTGTATTTTTATCGCCATAGTTTTAAGTATTGTATGTATACACGACTCTCTGGAAGAGAGTTTGTTATAAAGAGATTAACCATGTCCAAATAAAGTTTTACTACTACTATTAGAGTGCAAACAATATGACTGTGAAACACTAATTACTAAATTGTTCAAAATAGTGCTAGTTAAACAATAGAAAACAATAGAATTAGCATAAAATAGTGTAAGTTAGTATTACTAATATTTCACGGATATATTGTTTGCACTCTACTACATGGTTGTAAATCTATCACAAATGAAAAAGGGAAAGAAATGAAGAGGAATGAGAAAAGGTTAACATTATGGGGGGAATTCGTAAAGGAAATTGCTTGATCTCAAGTGCAATTTGGGATTCATAGGTACATGTATGAGTAATGTCTTGGAAGTTTTCGAAATCGTAGGAGCCTTTGCAGTCAAGTATCTATAAATTCTGAATGGTATAAGAAGACAGTGTGATTTTTTGATAATGATACACTCAACAAAATTGAGCAACTTAATTGGGACTCTACATACAGAGTACAATTTGGGATTTAATTGTACTCCTCTTGTCCAATCGGAATCGATTAATCTTGTGGAGTGTATTATCAGACTGATAACAATAGAAAAATATTTAAATTGCAAGAGTCTGAATGATTTTAGATAAGACATTGATTTGCCTTCACCTCATTTTTCCTATTTTCATTATAAACATTTACTATTACAAGTGCCATTTCCACATTACAAGATTTTTAAAGCGAATGGTTTTCATTTTCCAAAAATGTTGTACTTACAATTTTGTTTACAATATTCATGTGGTCCGTGGAATTTGTTTGTATTGTTGAAGTTGTGCATTCTTTACTTTACCATTGGTATTTCTGAATATTTATACACTGATATGAGGCTAATCCTGCGTAATTGAGTCTGTAATCAAGAAACACAGCAGTAATTAGGAATTTGAAAATGCTCTATTAATTATTTTTTTCTAACTTTTGCTCTTTAACTACTTGTACTCAAATGAGTCTGTAAGTAATATATACAGTATGAGTGGCTGTGTTGTATCCGATATACAAACTTGAGGCGTAGCCGAGACATGGACATGAATACTGTAGATTGCTTAATATCGAACGTCTAGGTTAGTTCCTTCATGTTTCACTAAAATTTTCAAAATTAAAGTGAATCTGCCCAAGAAAATCCAAGTTAAAGTTTATGCAAATGAACACAATTCTGTATCTGATTTACAACACTCTTCACGGTTGTGATTCCTGTTCAGTTTTCCTCATGTATTATTGATGAATTTGAAAATGAAGAAACAGCGGTAATTTGGAACTCAAAAAATGATCTATTGCATAGAATTTAGCCATTTATTCCAATTCATTTAAGGATTTATACAGCGTAGGACTGGTCTATTACAGTATGAATGTGAAATGTAGCATGTGCATTGCGTTAGTATACAAGACATTCATGAATTATGATAAATAATAATTGCATTACTTTTCTCACAGATAAAACATGTTTTGAGAAGTTCCTCAACCATGAGGACATCAAGAGTATTCATGACCGATTTGTTATCTATCACATTGATGCCCCTGGTCAGGTACTGTGCCATAATCTTGATTGTGTAGTCCCATAAATTATCCATCCTCCTCCCCCTTCTCAACCCTGGAGGAATTTTCTTAAAGACCMCCCCCCCCCCCMSGAAAWTCTAATTTTCTTCCTTACAAAAATCTGTGATTTTTTAATTCCCTGACCCTCCCACCCCCAACCCTGGAGGAATTTGCTTAAAGCCCCCCACCCCTTTCCACCCTAGGAAATTCCAATTTTCTTCCTTACAAAACTCTGTGATTTTGTAATTTTGTTATTTTTCTGACCTCTCCATACTCCTCAGAAATTCCAAATACCTTGTGAGGGGTATGGATAATTTCTTGATGATTTCTTTATCAAAACCACAAGAAAAATCTAAACAGTATGTGATATAAATTGGTAATGAGTTACTAAGGACCTTGATTAATTTTATAAACCTCCAACAATATATTATTTACAGTTTCTGTCAAGTATATGAGAATATATATACACTAGATATTTGTACTGTGGTTATATGTATCTAATAGACCTATCCCAAATTCGCTTGACTGGTCACAAAACAATGGTTTCAAGTCAAGGTTGAACTTGATGAATAAAAGAATCAAGTTCAGTCTTGACTTCAAACCATTGTTTCGTGGTCAGTCAAGCGAATTCAGGATAGGTCTATTGAGCTGATCTGCACAGTATGTCAAGCAACTTTCCCCTTTCCCCTCCCCCCCTAACAAATTGGTTCTACTTATGGTATACCTAGCAGTACTTATACTTTGAAGTACTTACAGTACCGCCTGAAGTCATTGCAGCATGCGAACGCGTTTGTTTCGCGTCCTTACCGCGTTCGGTGAACGCAAACTGTACGCGGAATGGAAGCGAATGGACGCGAATGGACGCGGTCAATACGCTCTTTCGTTCTTACTGCGGTTTATAGAACGTAGCATTTACAGTACAGTGTACATGTGCTGAGTACATTTGCAGTGAAAGTGCCCCAAAAACTAGACATCACTTTTTAATCAAATGAGCAGCATTTTCTGAAAAACGTAGCATAATCATCGACCGAATGTACGTATATAGTCAGATAGTCTATTAATATGGAAGTTTGAAACTTTCGAATATTTTTGAAATTAAAAAGTCAGAAATACTTGGAAGTTCGTCCATAAACTTCTATAACTACATGTACTGTAGTAATAAATAAACTGACCTCAAATAATCCTAACCGCATCAATTTAAACCTTCAAAGTTCAATATGCTACACAATAATGTATTTTGCTAGAGGAAAGTTCAGTCTCCAAATAATTTATCAGAGTTTGAAGCAAATTATTAAGATCAAACTCATTCTTGATTTTTGTTTTTATTTCAAAATACAAAGTCGAAGCTTTTAGAACGCATCTTTTTCCAGCAAATGAATCCATGTCCGGTGAACATGCAATTTACACGCGGACTCGGTTGTTGCGAGCTGCATCGAGCCCTGCAAGCCGAAATGGTTTTTTTTTTTGTCTCTCTATTAGTCGCTGCCGGTTACTTTTTTTGACTGGCGGCAGTGAAAAACCAAATTCAAATCGGTTACTCGCAACTAACGAGTCCTCATAATATTTAAAATGCAAAGCGGCGGACCCTAGTAAAAATTCTCCGATTTTATACACAGAATACGAAGCCCCTGACCGTTCGTGACCTGAAGAGTATAAAAATAAAACTACGTTCACCACGATTGTGAATTTCGTAATAAGGGGGTAAAGGGAAATTAACTCTGCTAATTTTTTATCTTCGTACCAAAAAATAAATGAAAAACAGGCTCCTAACAACTATATAATTAAATCGGATTAAGACTGCGATACAGCTTCTATTGTATGGTAAGTCGGCATTTACCAGTCGGCATTTTTCAGTAAAAATCTTATAGACCCTGCCGGTTCCAACACTGAATTTTAACAAATTTGGTTGTTTTTTTATAGGCAGCATTTTCGCGATTTTTTAGTTTCTTTTAGTTATCTTCCAGTATGACCTTTTTTCACGCAAGTTGATGTTGGACAGTTTCATAGAAGAAATATGAGTCTTGCATGTATAATTGTAACCCAACATGTACGTGTGAAATCAACAACGTCAGATCAGAGCGGATGTTTCTTCCTAGTAGAGGACTCTCGCTTAGTTTTAATATTATCTTGTTTATGCTTTCGAGTAGCCCAAGAGTGAATCGAAGTAACGAATTCTGTTGTGAATGTAGACGTATAAATAAAAGTTGCCTTAGGAAATTGCAGGACGAAGAATGTTTGAGAGATCTAAAACGTACAAACGCCCGTGCATAAGAGTATGCGGAAAGATAAACGTGTTCATACATGTAGCGTTACGCTGTAATCAATTATCTATGTCGGGCTCTAAAATATCTAATGTAATTTCGTTTTTTCGTCCAATGTTACTCTATTACCTTGAAATAAAGCGCGAAAGCATTAAATACTATTATTTTATAAAACAGTTGGAACTTTTGGATAGATTAACCAGTTCCAACTGGATCAAAATCGAGGTAGAAACACTCCCCACATACAAAATACAGTACAAGAGGACAAGAGAATCGCATATGACCACATTTAAACAAAGTTAGCTCATTTTCGATTGATGAAACAATTAATTCCAAAGAAATTCTACACACACACAAAAAAAATCGACTCCTGTACTGGTTGGTACAAACTCGAACTCGATTCCTAAATGGAACTTTAAAAAAACTCGAACTCGGGCCATAAAAAATATTTCGTTCAATGCCAAACCAGTAGGAATACTGTATAACCAAACAGTGCTTTGTACAGTATGATACTGTATGGGACGCGTTTTTTCGGCAACCGCGGTTAAATCGCAGTCAATTCTAGGTCAGGACGCGGCTTATTTGCGTTTTTACCGCGTGCACTGAACGCGCGACGGACGCGTCTTATGCCTCAATGATTTCAGGCGGTACTGTAGCATGTTGGGTAATGAACATTGGCTATTTTGACCCCTTCCCCACCCCTCTAACAAATTGGTTCTACTTATGGTATACCTACCAGTACTCAAACTTTGAAGTACCTAACATGGCTGGTAATGATAATTGACTGTTTTACTTTTACAACAGGAAACTGGAGCTGAAGATCTTTCAAATGAGTGAGTTTTTCCTTATTAATAAAGAAAAAGAATATTGAAATAACAAAGAATAGGAGTCTCTTTAAAATTGGCCTCGAAATATTTTTTGCCAAATTATGTAAATTGTCTCGCTTAATACTGAATAGTTGAGAGCAGTGGTTAATGTACCTACCTGTATGAATTACGTCAACAAATGTCAAAATCGCTTGTGCATGGAGCCAGTGGGTGCTAAAAACCATTTTTCCTAAACTTTTTGCATGCTTTTTTGTAGTAAAAAAACAAATTTCTGATGGTTTTTGTGGTATGTCCTCCTAATTACCAAAATTTGACTTTTAGTCTAAATAAAGTTACAATAATTATTATGTATGCAACTGAGCTAAAAACATTTTGAACAAGTGTTTAAATAATGTCGTGGAAAATAAGAGGACACATATCATGCAAAACCACCAGAAATTTGTTATAGTGTCATTTCATTCAATTTTCTGACTTGCCTTTTTTTGAATCAATTGAAAAACCTTTGGTAGTGAAGTGAAATATACTTTCCTTTTTCAAATATTTTTTATCCTTCAAAATATATCTTTTTCACTTTAGCTCTTCTTTGTTTTCCGTTCAACTAAATTAATATTGGTGAACATTTCGATTTTTAATTTCAGTTATCAGTACCCAAGCCTGAAGGGGCTATCAGATATGGTTGGAAATGTAATAGATCATTTTGCGTAAGTCGTCAGACTCTGTCAGTTTTTATCATAAAGCTATATCTATTACTAAATTGTGTAGTTCCAAATATTATCCATACCCCCCTTACGGAGGAATTTTTTTAAGACACCCCCCTACACTTCAGAAATTCCAATTTTCTTCTATACAAACTCTGTAATTTTTGTTCTTTCTCTGACCCCCCTACTCTTCGGAAATTCCAAATTCCTCTGTGGGCTTGGTATGGATGATTTCTGGATCTACACAATAACACTAATAATTATACAGCTTCTCATTAATCCCATATAGGTAACTGTTCAATTAGTGTATGTAATAGGACAGGTCTTGTTGATATGGGATTAATTAGGCAGCTATATAATTAATAGGTAATGGGACTTCATGCTCCCCAATCAAGAAATAATTAGACTCAAAAATTCTCGGCCTACGGCCTCATCCAATTTTGTCAATCCTCGGAATTTTCCTCGTCCAATTATTTCTTAATTGGACAGCATGGAGTCCTATTACATATACTAACTACTGGCTTACTGCATATTTATATTATATTTTAAACTTTTTTTTCTATAGGCTTAAGGATATTGTCTGTTTTGGAGATGGTGCGGGTGCCAATATTTTGTGCCGTCTAGCAGTAAGTGCATTTCAGACTGATTATGAGACCAGATACAATATAGACCTTTCAACAATTCACTTGACTGACCACAAAACAAAGGTTTCAGTCAAGATTGGACTTGATGAATAAAAGAATCACGTTCAGTCTCGACTTCAAACCATTGTTACGCGGTCAGTAAAGCCAATATGAGAAGCATCTTTTGAACCAGTTTTTTAAATTTAAGATGATGATGATGATGATGATGATGATGGTGATGATGATGATGTTCATACAGGAAGCTCTCATCATCAAAGTGTTTTTCAGAGAGATCCTCCTTTCACCAGGGATTTTTCCTGATTATTCTTCCCTCATGTATCTACGTGTAGATGTCCAGCAAGTGGAAAGTCAAGATTGAACTTGATAAATTAAATAATCAAGATCAGTCTCAACTTCAAGCCACTGTTTCTTGGTCATCTAAGCGAACTTGGAAACATCTATTGGACCAGTTTTTTAATAGCACAGCGCACTGATTCTAAAAATAGCTTAAAGATTTGGACAAACATTGCATTCTGTTTAGCCGCTACGAGAATTATACGAACCGATTTTATTATTTTTACTTAAAGTTACAATAATAACCCATGTAAACTAAGATCAACTGCGATCGGCTGTAGAATTATCTGCTGAAAGTAAACTTATAAGTTTGTTTGTCCGAATTTCGCCTTTGTCATCGTTTTTATGACGTCATGGTTGTGCTGTGCTATTTAAGTTCCCTTACTCCTAGGCTTTTTCATGATTATTCTTCCCTCATATATCTAGATGTCCAGCAAGTGGAAAGAAAGAATCCTTGGTCTTGTCGTAGTAGAACCATGTACTGCAACAGCAACCTTCAAGGAATGGGGAGAAGCCAAGGTATATAATGAGTCGTTTGTTTTGTTACTGCTAGCTGCTGTAGCGCTCAGGCGTGAAAAATGTAACTTTAAGGAGCATGCGTAGCTCAGTTGGTTAGTGTGCAGCCTTCAGAGCTTGAGGTCCATGGTTCAATCCTCGGAAACTCCATGTCTGTTTCGACTTCTCTCCGTTTTGTGTTACTTTAATTAGCTTTAAATACCTGTAAAAAGGAGCACTGATAGTAAGAGGGGGTAGAGGGCACACCTGCAAGCACATTAAACATGAGCCCTTGGCTTGGGAGATTTGGGCAACCAATCCCTGCGTTATCGAAGTAAAATAAATATTACCTTTACCTTTTTACCTTTTAACTTTATAGATGCTCAAGCATTCATAAATTTGTTTGCATAAACTCAGGGTTTTCAATAGAAGCTGGCAACCGGCAAATTCTGCTGTCTACTCTTGCTAATTCGGCCGCCTACTCAGCCACTTGTAAATCTTAATTAAAGTTCTTTAAACTAGCAAAATGTGTGAATAAAATAAATTTTAACCCAACCTTTGTTGCTGTAGTACGAAAACTGCAACGCAATCAAAACTACGTTATTTGCCATCTTGAATTTTTGTGAGAAGAGTGAGGCTGGTGACAAGTATGCCTTGATTACATGCTCAAGTGATTTCCGGTTTACTGCCTATTTCAATTTCATAACCGCCTACCTAAACTTTTAGTGACAAACCTGAAACTAGATATTTTTCTCAATATTTTAGTATTTATTATTTATTTTATCAAGAGAGCATAAAAAAGAGAGGGAAACTTCTTAATGAAGGGCATGCCATGTAAATTCCCAGTTGGGCTATTTTTAGTAACCGGATGCAGTTTAAATTTCTCCTTACTCTACTCCCGTGCATCATCAACTTGCACGCCTGCGCTCTTTCTGGTTTTTTTTTAGTGATCAAAACAATAAATGGAAAGAGGGCCAGTGCACAAGTTGAAAATGATTAAAGTTATGTTGAAAAAGTCTTTACAATCGATTCAAATATTTCTATATTTCTCTTCAGATGAAGTCCTGGCAGCTGCATGCCAAGGGATTTACTGACAGTACAAATAACTATCTCATGTGGCATCACTTTGAAAGGGTAGGTACCTGGTCTATTTCATTGCAATAGGCTTGTGCCTTTAATCTGTAAACTAAAGTCTTCTTTTCACTAGAGTGCAAACCATGTTGATAGCGGTACTTTTGATACTGAAGGGAATACCCTGCTTAAATAAAGGAGGAAAATCGAAGAAGCCTTGGAAAAATTCACAGCCCTCCCTATTCTATCTAAAAAAATTTTTGACCCCCCCTATCCTTGTGACCTTTTAGACATACCTTAATTATTTGTTTCAACCCTCCCCACTTTAAGTCAGCAAATACTATTAAAGTTCCCCCTTCTTTGTGTGATTTTTTTTCAAAGCCCCCCTACTTTTCCTCCAGCCCCCCCCCCCTCCCCAACCCAAGGAATAATTAATGAACAGTCCCTTAGCAGTGAATGGAAAATTTTGCTATAGTTTTTTTAATAATCTGATTCTGATACCATTTTTTTCCCCTACATTTTTTGTGTCATAGAAAACTGGCAAACCTGACGCGGAACTAGTGAAAAACTTTATTGAGGAGATGAAGGCCAACATTAACCCACACAATCTGGCTGCTTTCCTAAAGTCATACATGGAGTAAGTACAAAATAGACAGCTATTCTGATTTGAGTAAGTCAGAATTGTTTGTTCAGTGTATTTGAATAGCTTTGTGTATTATTTAATAGATTAACTGACTTCCTATAGAGGCTTTGCACCATCACGTGAGGGCAGCCATAACAGGAGGCAGAAACAACAGAATGTGATTTACATGAGAAAGAATTCAGTTTCCCAGGGGGAAAGGACTCTTTGTTGTGCCTCCTGTCATGGCTGCAATCACAAGTACAGTTCAATGCATTATTTGCTAGAAGTACCCTCTAAGACATGCAACAGCTCTCTATTCCTGTTTTCTGGAGCTGGAATTCTTGAACTTGAAGGCAGTCAGGAATTTTTCGAGTCTAATTATTTCTTGATTGGGGAGCATGAAGTCCCAATACCTATTAATTATATAGCTGCCTAATTAATCCCATATCAACAAGACCTGTCCAATTAAGAAAATAATTGGACAGTTACCTATATGGGATTAATGAGAAGCTGTATTATTAGTATTTTAATCCAAAAACAATATCTGAACTTCTTGACAGTCACATACATGTAACGGCTAATGCCAGAAAGGTGAATTGAATCTGGTTGAAAGGGATTTAAATGAGAAAGATTTCAGTTTCCTAGGGGAGAAGGACTCTATTGTTGTGCCACCTGTCATGGCTGCTATCACGTGATGGTGCAAAGCCTATATTTCAGATCGCATGTTATTCCCTAGAGAGTTAGTTATTCGCTTAATGGTTATGCATCAGAAAAGAAATGAATATGGATACAAATAAAACAAAGAATTCTATTCTCAAGAGAATGACGTGATCTGAAATGGGAAAATATTATGCCTAGAAGGAATGTTCCATTGGTGATAAAAACTGGAACAACAGAAATGAGAAAGATTTCAGTTTCCCAGGGGAGAAGGACTGTATTGCTGTGCCAACTGTTATGGCTGCCATCACGTGATGGTGCAAAGCCTCTATTGACTATGTGTTTTAACATGATATATTTTTAAGGCGTAATGACATCATCAAAGAAGTAAAAGCATGCGTGAAGAACAAGACTATCTCGTAAGTGTTTTGATTATGTGATATGCTTATTTCAATAAAGTTAATCACCAAAAACCTAGAAAGCTGAGATCACTGAGGATAATGGGAAACAATTTATTACAAACAAGTAAAGCTTTTTTGATACAAACTGCAGCTTGAGGATGCTCAGGAGAGGTGAGACTATAACTGGTAGAAGATCTCAAGTCCATCAACAGTTATCAAGTGGTTAAAACATGTAAAATGTATCTACCCATGATCCTTGTCGGCCTCAGCTTTTTAGCTTTTCAGGTGACTAACTTTATTGAAATAAGTATATACACCTTACACTGTGTGCAGATGTAGAATAATATTCAGTATGTAGCTTGTATAAATTTTCAAAAGTTGATATAATTGTTGTTAACAGAACCACAGCTCACGTAATGGTTGTAACAGGAGAACGTTCACTACACAAGGAACTAAGTGTAAGTTTGGCTTTATAAGCTATCACCCATGAATTCACCATCAATTTTATTAAACTTGAAAAAGCCTCTCGGCAAATCCAAGTCAGTGAGCCCAAAACAAGCTCTTGGCCGATTAAAAGGCACAGCTACATTAACTCACAGTTTGTATAACGACCAGTACCTATGGTACTGAAACTGGGCTGTTCTGGAAATGCAGAATGCAGAAATACAGATGGAACCCTTAAACAACCTTTGGCCACTAACTCACAGATCAACAAATTGGAATTTAGAGTGTTGGGTTTTGAAGAGAGGAAATCAAAGATTTAACAAATCAAAGGAGACTATTTTTGTTTTGTTTTGTTGTTTTGTTTTTTGTTTTGTTTTGTT